CAGCCCTGCCCTGCGTGTGTTGGGCTCGGCGGCTAGCAGGCCAAGCACTCGGCTTTCACCTGCGGGATCCGGGCATGGGACCTACAGTGCCCCCGGCATAGGAGCAGGGCCGACTTATCCATTAGGCACAGGAGGCACAGTGCCTAGGGCCCACGATACTTGTAGGGGCCCATGAAAATGTTTTAATTTCTTTTAAAATCAGAAGAAAAAAAATGAACTTTTAGGGTCGAAGAAAATGTTTTAATTTTTTTCTCACATCAGAAAAAATGAAACTTTTAGGGCCCATGAAAATCTATTACATTTTGCCTAAAACAGAAAAAAAATAAAATGTTGAAGTATTTAAAGTTATATCCAAAATAATTGTTCATATTGATATTATTATGGTGGGAGGGGCCCACGAAGGCAGAATGCGGCCCTGGATAGGCGCGGTCAGGCGAGCCCCTGCTGGAGGGTGGAGTCCGGACCCTTCCCTGAGCTCTCAAACAATGCGCTGTCCGTGAGGCTGAAGCAGGCCGTGACTGGCGGTCGCACCACGCCGGGCAGTCCTGTGAAGCACCATTGTGAAAGAAGCCACCAGGCAGACTCCTGGCCAGTGTTCCCTCTAATTGGTTCCATTTTGTGTGGAATAAATTTTGTTTGGTGCAGCAGAATGGGGCAACATGCACCACCAGTAGAAACACAGACTGACAGCTGTGGGCACTCGGCTGATCAGCTGGGCAACACCCGACTCTCTCCTGGGTGGCCGCCCAAGCGCTCAGCTTACAGGGAACACTGGTCCTGAGCCGACCAGACCCCACGCGGTGCTGGCTCCACAGACTGCAGCGCACACAGCTCTCCCCACTCAGCTGCCCATAGCTCTTCTGAAGCACACGGGCATTTCCCGCTGCACGCCGCCTTTCCCAGCTTGTTAGTGGCAGCGAGGGGCTGGGGCGTTCCAGGAAGAGTGGTCTGCGAATTCCAGCGCATCTCCTCCTCCACTTACCCGCAGCTCACAGACAGGGCGGGCCTGGCAGCTCTGAGACGGGACTCGCGGGAGAGGGGTTCAGTCCATTATGAAGAAAGCCGGGAGTTCACCGTTCAACCTTCCCGGCAGTCAGAGGATGATGGGCTGCAGGAAGCCAATTACAGGCAACCTCCCCGGCTGCTGCGAAAAGCCTGTTCGCTGCCCCTTGGCTAATGGGGTCTAATCCCACCGGCAGCTAGCGCTTCCTTGGGAAGGGGGTTCATGCTGGTTGCTGGGGGGCAGAGCTTGGATCCCATCGTACGTCACTGAGCACAGGGTCCCCCCCAAGATCCACACCCTTCTCTCCGCTTCGCCATTCACGTTATTCCCTGCAGACGTGCTCAGAGGCGCGGCCCCAGGGCGGGTTTGCTAGTCACCAGGAGAGGTTCCTGCTGGATGCAGGGGCTGTCTCTCCTCTCACTATCCCAGTGTAAACTGGGAGCAGCCCCATGGCCGCCCAAGGAGGGACACCAGTTCTACTCGGAGCCGTGCCGGAGAGCCAAGACTGAATCCTGCCCCTCCCAGTGCCTGGCCAGAGCTAGCGGAGCCCAAACGCCTCCGTCCCAGGGCACCCAAGAGCCGGTGGAGGGAGCACTGGGGGCCCAGGGCCCCCTGCCTGTAGCCCCTCGCTCCAGCCGCAGTGCACTGACCTGGGCGTGGCTGAGGGCAGCAGGCCTCTCCCATCCCAGTGTCCACGCAGCCAAGCAGGCGGGAGCCTGTCAAAGAGGCAACGCCTGTTACTCCCTGCCCACGATACACCCCCTGCTCAGGGAAGCACCCCTGGGTGCACCAGCAAAGGGGTGCACACCCAGCAACCCGCCTCGGCCCGACAGGCGGGGCCCCTGGCCCTCAGCCTGTGATCCCCGAGGGCTGCGTGAGACAAACCCGTCACATTTTCCATGGCGCAGGCCAGGCTGGGCTGGGCTATTTTGGGTGCATGTTTGTGCAGATGAGCGAGAGGCCTGAAATTCCTCCGGCGCTCAGCCCAGCCTGGGACTCTCCTCCAGCCGCCGGCTGGTTCCCACGCACAGGTCACGGACCGTGACTCCGCAGCTTGGAGCCCCCCCCGCCCACCAGCCACCCTCCGCCGGCAGTTCGCCCACGTCGCTCAGCGCTGCTGTTCGCCCCTCGTGCTGGGGGCGGGGGCCGGGCGAAAGCCACGCCCCCGTCCCCCGGGAAGTGACGCATTTGCAGCCAGAGGCGCTGCCCAGCAGTTTTCATTGGTGCTTTGCAATAACTTGTGCCAGTGGTGTCTGCAGACCCTGTCCCGTCTCCGGACACAGCCTGGCGCAGCGGGCTCCAGTGTGCAGAGACACGCAGCCATCCATCCGGCTCAGGAACTGGGAGCCGCCCCTTGCCCCAGGGAACAGTACAAAGTATCAATGGGGGGGATTCTGTCCTTCTGCGCCTTAGGGTCCCGTTCTGTGCACCCAGGAGCACTACAGCCCTTGTACACAGGAGAGCTGGCTCTGGCCCGTCCAGAGACGGACCCTCGGCTGGGCGGGCCGGGCTGGGCCATTAACTCCCTCTGGCGTCGTGGTCAGAAAGCAAAGCCACCGGATGCACCGTTGATTCTTTATAAAACTCCCCTCCCGTCGGGGCCAGACGGGTGCTTTGGAGCAGGTGGTGCGGCTAACGCTGGCCGGCGCACTGGGGGGTCCCATTCTGCCTGGAGTTTTCCGCCTCTCCTCTGCTCCTCTGCTCCCCAGGAGGGGCAGCTTCCTGCCCCAGATCTGTGGGTCAGAAAGCAAAGCCACCGGATGCACCGTTGATTCTTTATAAAACTCCCCTCCCGTCGGGGCCAGACGGGTGCTTTGGAGCAGGTGGTGCGGCTAACGCTGGCCGGCGCACTGGGGGGTCCCATTCTGCCTGGAGTTTTCCGCCTCTCCTCTGCTCCTCTGCTCCCCAGGAGGGGCAGCTTCCTGCCCCAGATCTGTGGCTGGCAGGCCGAACCCTGTGCACTTGAGCACGGGCGCGTGGTATCGGCACCACAGTAGCTCGCACCACGCCACCGCCCCGGTGCCGGGACAGGCAGCAGGCGGGTG